CCCCAAAAAAAAAAAAAAATCTAAAAAGCAAGGGGAATTTTTAGCAACTTGAAACTTGCACTTTATTAGACTAAAACTTAATGGGCTCCAAAACAAAATTTTTAAATTTTGAAGACAATTTTTTGAAGTTTGATATTAACTTTTCTAAGATCTTTGCAAGCTTTTAAACATTTATTTATTTGGTTTCTGTTATAAATTGAATTTTATTTTAAATGACAATTATTAAAAATTTGTTTTTTGTTATTTTTTGGCCTTATAACAATTATATTCAACAATTTTATAATGAGCTCGATTATTAAAAATAAATAAATAAACGTAAGTTACAAACAAAAACATTTTGAATTTCGGTGCTAATTAGTTGACCGCAGGTATGTATGTATGTATATGTATGTACATATCTGCCTCTGAAGACTTACGTGAATCTTTTCCCCCCAATATTGCCAAGGATGGAAAGTAATTAAACCCAAGCCATTTACATACTTCATAAATATGTATGTATGTAGATATAATTAATGATTCGGTTAGACCGGAACGATGCAGATTATTTTTTAAGGTTTTCTGAGATAGGGCATTTTCGAACTGGCTGCCGAGATAGGTCGATCTTCCACTCAGCCATCGATATGTAAATTTAAATATTAATTTATATATAACTCTTTGTTTATAAAAGCGCTACGTTTTCTAATCAAAAAACATTAAATATTTTACAGACTATTAGAACAATAGTTGCGACTAAGTGATAAATCATCTATGTAACATATATATGTATTCACATGTAAATATGTATGTTAAAGTTTACACATACATATGTATTTAACGGCGGCCACGAGGAGGACAACAAACAAGCAAAGTAAAACATCTTTTATTTTAGAGACGACGAAATGAGTATGAAATGAAATGAGCAATAGAATTACGAAGCAAACCAAAATTACCAAAAAAAAAACAAATTCGATCCAACGAAGGCATTAGTAAATTAATAAAGAGTATTTTTAAATATTTTGTTTAGGTTATTAATGGGCGATTATTATTATTTTTTTAATTTGTATCATGCAAATGCATGTTTATACATATGTACACTAGCGTGGTCCAAAAATTCATGTAAAAAGTGAAGTCGGAATTTCAATGATCTCACCCCCTAGGATTGTTCTATATCGAAAAAAAACCTTTACCCCTGCTNACCAAAATTACCAAAAAAAAAACAAATTCGATCCAACGAAGGCATTAGTAAATTAATAAAGAGTATTTTTAAATATTTTGGTTAGGTTATTAATGGGCGATTATTATTTTTTTTTTAATTTGTATCATGCAAATGCATGTTTATACATATGTACACTAGCGTGGTCCAAAAATTCATGTAAAAAGTGAAGTCGGAATTTCAATGCTCTCACCCCCTAGGATTGTTCTATATCGAAAAAAAACCTTTACCCCTGCTTTTTATTTTGAAATAAAAAAAATATTTAGAGGTCGCTCAAAGTTCTCAATGTTAATAATAGAAAATGGTTAAATAAATAATTGGGAGTTGTAATTGGAAGTCTCCTGAAGAGAAACAAAGTTTTCGAAAAATATTGATTTTCAAAAATCCCTTACCATTTCTACGAAAACTTGTTTTTATTCATATAATATATGTACATACCTACATGGAAAACTTTGTGCGCTTCGAGCGACTTCTAAATATTTCTTGATTTCAAAATAAAAAAGGGGTACAATTTTTTCGGTATAGAACAATCCTAGGGGGAGAGAGCATTAAAATTCTGACATTACTTTTTTTTTTACCACCCTAATGTACACACATTTTTTTGTATATGTATGTACATATTTCTATCTATAATTATAAGTATTTAGTGAGGAAAAGTTAATTTTTCACTTTTAAAGCAGTGCAGCACACAAGAGCTAGCTGCATCATGCAACAAATAAGATTGATCAAAAGCAAAATAATACACTGTATATGTATGTACATCAACGTACAAAACGTCTTTGTTAAATTTTTTAAAATCGACAATTCAAAACAGAACTACCTTTCTTTCGAGTTATTGTCAGTCGACTTATGTTGCTGATGATCTAAAAGATCAGAGGCAATCGATGCCGACGACGGCGAAGACAACAATGTCAGATGAGTGTTGTCTATTTCTAATCGATCGATAGTCATGTTATTTGATATTGATGCTTGGTCATAGTACATTAACGATGTTGCAAAGTCTGGCGACGGAGCACTCATTGCTACTACAGTAGGAGGCTGTACTTGGACAAGTTGTTGGTCTTGAAACTTGTACTCTAACCGTAAGCAAATATCGTTATTATTATTCTTGATATTTTTTATGTACATCGCCGCATCTGCGGTAACCGGTCCAATTGACTCGATATTTGGTGATGAAAACGGCATTTTTCCAATTTCTAAAACTGTTGAATTTTCAGTGGTTTGTGGTTGTGGTTGTTGATGCCGGTGCTGTATTTGCATGACCATCGGCGTCTGTGGCACTTGAAATGAATCGTTGGACATATACGATGAGGATGGTGATGATGTGGACATTAACGGGAATTGGACGGGTGATAACAATGTTGCACTGAGCTCACCTTCGGACAATGACATTTTTTGGTAAGGATTATGAGATGGACACGCACTAGATGAAGATGATGATGCCTGATCATGAGGCAGTAAGGGTGTATCCAACGTATCGCTCAAGAAGCGAATTATTATATTATCAGCACTTTCAGCGTTGTCATCGTCGTCGCCGACAAGATTGCTAACGTTTGCGTTAATTGACGAAGTCAAGGGGACATGCGATAATGGCAAATCACTATCTACACTTTCGCCAACTCTCATATCCCCATCACCCTCGTGTGCCATTATTGCATTGTATATTGGGTAAACCAAGTCAGTAGTGTCTTCTAGAGCTAAGCTTAATCCTAAGTGGTGGAGCACCTGTTGATGTAATTGTTGCTCTACATCAGTTACTACTAGCGCTCCATTCGGTTGTTGCGTGGTTCCTTGATTTTGCAACAACTCTTCCGACGGCGATTTAATCGAAAAATCTGAGGGAAACTCATCGAAGTTATCCAATAATTCTAATTGTAGTTGTGGTGACATCGTTGCGGATGACGTAGATGATGTGGACGCAGACGCTGAAGGAATGGAACTATACGCCGAAGACTGGTCATCAACAAGAGGGGGATCTTGATCTCTGTGAGCGCTACCATTTTCTGTGCTCATTGTTCTCAGCGATGTTGTTGGATTTTTTGGTGTAATTTTTTCAGCCGATAGCATTGTTGAGTGTATTAAATCCATTGCGTCACACTATGGCAGTAAATTTATTAATTTCAAATTCACTATGTTACAAACTCTGTTTTGCGCTACTTCTAGTTATCAATCAACAAGTTAAATTATTTTTCAGTAGGAAGAGAAAAACAGAATTACTTTGTGAAATTGTGCACCTGTTCTCGTTCATTATCGCGATAGAAGTAGAGATGAGGGAGATACATCGATGCATCGAAAATATCGATGTTTAGCTTCTACGCATCGAAATTTTTCTAATCGATACATAAGTGGTCCATGTACCGATACATTGGTCATTATTGGGTTTGTTCGTTGAGTGCACATGGTAACAAAATTTATCAGTGCGCAGAATGTGAAAAAGGTTTAAAAATTACCACACTTCACAAGGTGAACAAAGTGGTGTGTGTTTATTTTTATTTTTATTTTTTTATTTATTACAGTCATTTGACCTATATACATTCACGTAAATACATTTGAAATATGTATTGCAAAATTTATGTTTTTAAAAAATAGAGAGCGTCAGATTGGCAGCCCTGTTAAAACGAAAATATAAATTTTTTTCTAATTAATTGTATGTATTTATTAACTCAAAGAGCATCCCTACGTGTATAACGGCGCTGAGCCCTCACTTTCTTAATACGGCCCTGGCCTTATATGCACTTTATTTTTACTTTTACTGATTTGACAGCACACACACAGAATAATTATGCTGTCATCGTAGTGTGAATCAGCCCAATGTGTAGATAAATTCCATGAACCAAAAATACAAGATCACCTAATCAAAGAAGCAAGAAAAAAGTATATTTCTGAGTGTTTTTGACATCTGCCTAAGAATGAAAACAAACAAAGAAAACGAAAAAGGCGCGGTGATTGAGTGCGATTAAATTGGTATTTATTATAAAATATACAAAGTGAAACTTGATGACAATTAGCAAAAAAAGTTCATAAAATATGGTTTTCATGATTGAAAGTGTTTTACAATCGCATATCATTACCACGGGTCGATTTTTCAATGCCAACGTTCTGGCCACAAACGTGCACCCACTTTTCACGCAAATTTACGCCTTTTGGCAAACCAAACATACGCACAAACTTGTTCCGATCACACAGCACTTTATTTTATATCATAAATATGTAATAAACCAAAATTTATAATTAAAATCGCTGCAGAAAACACATTCAATCGCTAAAAAATCACTACGAAGAGGTAGAAGACGATGTAAACAAACCCGAAAAACGTCAAAAACGCTACGAAAACTTTTTTCTGAAAATCGATTACAAATACAACGATGGCTGATTAGGTGATCTGTAGTCGTTGGTTCATGGATAAATTCGTACCTCTGTCGATGCTTGGTTTCGATAACAAAACATCGATGAATTTATGCCACCGACTTATCTAAATAAATGTCAAGAGAAATTTGATCGGAGCAAAGGAAGAATAATTTGAAACAAAATGGTATTGGAACAGTAGCGGCGATTGAGATGAATAATTTTAAGGCTGCAAACCTTTTATTATAACTCCAAAAAAAAATAAAATTAATACAGAAAAAAGAGAAGTTTTAGGATTCATGTGGAATAACCGAATGGGTAAATAAAAAATTACATGATTTAATTATTTTTTTCCCACTATCCGAAACTGTATTTTGAGTCCCATATACAGTTCCAGACAAGAGTATTGGCACAGAGAATTTTTTCAATTTCTGCAAAGTTTTTATTCTAATTTATTTTCGATAATTTTTTATACAAATATAGTTCGTCCTACACGAAAACAAAAAAAAAGTCTCTAAACTTTTCGCAAAACACAGGAAAATTCAATAAATTTGAATACTAATTTGCAACTTTCTATTCAGATTTTTTCAAAAAATTCTAATAATGTATTTTTGTATTCCATCTAATTTTAGTATAACAAACTGCAAGCTTGAAGTTGCTAAAAAACTCAGGTTCTTCCGTACAAAGTATATTCGACAATTATTTTGTGTATGGAGAAAATGAGCAGCACCTTCCACTAAAAAAATTGCCAGTAATCAACGCGATTTTTTAGATACTTCAAACTTGCGCTATGTTATATCAAAATTGAGTGGACTATAAAACTGCATACTTAGAATTTAATCTAAATAGAAAGTTGCGAATTAATATGCAAATTTATTGAATGTTCCTGAGTTTTGCACAAAGTTCAGAGATTGAGTTTTTTGGTTTTTTAGAAAAGTACCAACTAAATATATATTTTTTTAAATATTGAAAATAAATTAAAATAAAAAATTTGCATATATTGCGAAAAATTCTCTGTGCCAATACTTTTGTCCGGCACGGTATGTTAATTCGGAGTGCGATAAAAATACAACCCTGCAAGGAAACTAATTGAACTGCCAGTCATCGTGGTTGTCAGCTTTTAACAATTTATCTATATAGAAATCCGGATTAAAATCACTGCTTTTGGCAATAAAAATAGTTTTTAAACTTAAATAATTGAATATGAGTGTGCGTGTAATTAATGATGATGTCCACTTTCAAGCAGAGCTTAGTTCTGCTGGAATCCGCCTTGTGGTGGTGGATTTCACAGCCAGTTGGTAAGTCAATACTTATCTAATTTTGATGGAGTGTGAAATTAATGCTTTGTACCAAAAAATTATAGGTGTGGACCGTGCCAGCGCATAGCTCCACATTTTGAATTGCTTCCTAATAAATATCCAAAAGCAATTTTTCTGAAAGTGGACGTTGACAAGTGCCAAGACACCGCTGCTAGTCAAGGTGTTTCAGCCATGCCTACATTTATTTTTTATCGCAACCGGGTAAATGAAATACGATTAGAATCCCTGATTTTTAATACTGAATTTCGATTTTCAGGCAAAAATTGATCGCGTTCAAGGTGCTGATATTATGGTTCTGGAAGGTAAAATTCAAGAGCACATCGGCTCTACCGGAGGCGACGAAGCCGGTGAAGACTATGGTCAAGGACTCGTATGTACCAGGAAACTATAAATGTTGCAATATGTATCATATCTAATTTAGTTTTCTTCATTTTAGATGGAACTGAATACATTCATTTCGAAACAAGAATGCGAATGTTTGAACGAGGCCGATGACCATTGCTTAAACCATTGTCTTACCTCGAACGGTGGTTATCTGCAATCAGACTGTGACGAACAATTAATTTTGTCGGTGACATTTAATCAACTAGTAAAAATTCACTCATTGAAGTTTAAGGCACCACCACACTTGGGGCCAAAAGAAATTAAGCTGTTTATAAATCAGCCCCGTACAATCGACTTTGACATGGCCGAATCTATGACGAGTGTACAAGATTTAACGTAAGGATTAAAAAAAAATATCGTTATTGTATAATGAGATTTTGTATTCTTTGCAATATTAGATTGGAACCTAAGGAACTTGAAAGCGGACAACCAGTCAGTCTTCGTTACGTAAAATTTCAAAATGTTCAAAACATACAAATATATATTCGTAACAATCAATCGGGTGGAGAAGTTACACAACTTGATTATATTGGATTCATAGGTTCGCCAATTATGACTACGAAAATGACAGACTTTAAGCGTGTTGCCGGTAAAAAGGGGGAAAGCCATTAAAAGTTCGCATACATCGAGCAATAAACAGCACTATATGTATATTGAATATATTTCCAATCGCTTTTCTAATATTCCAAACATTTGCTCTTGGTTTAAGTCCAAACTGGAAGCCTGCAATAATTAAATTTATTAAAAAAAAATCCGCATTGTATTTTTTACATACAATTTTTTGTATCATTCTTCCCCAATGAAAACATATCTTGCATATATTCGCCTATTTTATTCCTATATTTTCTTTATTAAAACGTCCTACCTTCTAATTTTGTCTTTGATATAAAAAGGCAATATTAAAGAGTACTAGTTTTATTAAAAAAAAAAACGGCATTCTCGTTTTTATAAACATTTCGTACATCATCCTTTCCCAAATAACCACTATTTTGCATAAATTCGCCTATTTTTCTCCAAAGGAGCCTTCGTTTATTTAAAACTAAATGTTTTGAATGAGCATCAAAATCAACTGTTGCTGGAACTATTGCCCACAGAAAAATAGTCTTTTATCCGTTGCTTAATATCTTGCATTAATATTGACCATGCTTTGTCTACTTGCTCCTGGGTAAATTCGTCTGACCATTGCGAACTAAAAACAATGTGTGATTTGGATACGACCTCACTGTTATCCATTTGACTGGCAATACGCTTACGTGCTTCTTCTTCACTTAAGTCATTCCGTTGCATAATACGTTGTACAGCCAGTTCGGGGGTTACAATAGTTGACCATACCTCGTGACATTCAGAATCCCAACCAGCTCTTAATAATATTGCCGCTTCGATTACAATGATATTATATTTATGCTGGGCGTGAGCAATGCGGATTCGTCGCTTAACCTCTAGCAATAGCTCTGGCCATACAATGTTGTTCAACGATTCTAATTGCTTAGGATCATTAAATACGATTCCCCCAAGTTTTTGACGATTAATTCGACCTTCTGAGTCCAAAATGTCATTGCCAAAATGATTAATTATTTTTGTGTAACAAACTTGACCTGGCTCGTAAATCTCATGCGCAATCTTGTCACAATCCAATACTTGTGCACCCTTTTTCAGCAGTCTATTGCACATTATGCTTTTTCCAGAAGCTATACCACCGGTAAGACCAATAATATATGGCAGCCCAGGTAGGTTGGGTCGTGGCTACGTATATATGTGGAGACGTAAGGGGAATGTAATTAAATATTTTGCCAAAAAAGTTAAATATTCTACTAACCTCTGGCTGTCTTAGCCTAGTTCCCAATAGATCGACACGTGTATTACTTGAGCTTACTTTCTTTTCTTTTGGACCAACACCCGTGTCATTTGATTCAACGAGGCTTATACAATATATTTCTAACGGCCGTAAATTATTTTTGATTCGCAGCTCATTCACTTTATGGCCGCCTCTTTCGGTTTCCGCACTCACTACAATCAAATCCATATTTGGATCGGATTGGGTTGGCCCAAATGGGTCATCAATAGGAACGACTTCGTATTGTAAGCTAGAGTCAATTTCCGTCAGAAATCCACGTACTTCTTCGATGCGCTTTTCCACTGGTAATATCAACTCCGAAAGAGTTTTGGCTGCGAATAATAACAAATTTTTACTTTTACATTTTGTTAAATGTATTTAAACTTACATTTATTCATTTGTTTTGTCGTAACACCCACCACTAGCCGGCGGCAGCAGCGAATTACAGCCTGCGTTAAAAATATCTTGTGCCCTACATGTATGCGGTCAAAAGTTCCACCAACTACTACTGTGTCATACATCTTATGAGCATCTTTAAAGTCCTGATATTCACCAACATCTGTGGTCGAATTTGATTCTTGCTCTAAGTAAATCGGTGGACCAGGTATGTTTAAATGTTCACGCATTCGTTCACAAAGTTCAGGATAGTGACTATCACAAAATAGCATATCAACGGGTTTTATTTGAAGTGCATTTATTCCCTGATCCCGTAAGGACCCCACCAAAATGCTCATTTTAAAGCTCTGATTACAAAACCGGCTGTTATCTGCGTACATTTGAGATATCAAATGGCCCCAAGTTGGCATTGGTTGACATTTTTCCACCGGAATGTTAAGATGTATATATATTTTACCCACATACTTCTCTATAGCACGCAAAGATGCACCGATTTGTTTAACATTGGACACAACCAAGAGACCTGTGGAGGTCATTTTGGCAATCTTTTAAAAATTTGGGATATATGTAGTCAACCGTAATCAAAATTGATGAAGTAGGGAATGAACTTTGAACGTTTTGGGTTTGATAAGGAAATCAGCTGGATTTTACAGTGTGGTCCAAATAAAGTTCCCAGAATAAAATGACAACAGCAAAACAGGGTAATTCATGTTATTAATTTTTATAAATGGCAAAAAATATTTTTAATTTAATTTATGATTTATAATTTTATTTAGTGATGAAACGTAAACACAGTTCCCATTGTCCCTTTTATTTATTTTTTATTTTTAACTGCAGCAGTTTGACGAGAATTTCCATCTTAAAAGAATTTGATACAACCCTGTAAACAAAACCAGTACGTCAAGTGCAAAAAACACGTCATAACAAATAATTGCATTAATTGGGCGAAAGGCGGCATTAGAAATATTTTTTTAATTTCCTAAAAAGAACTACATTGAAAATGGAGCCGCTCTACCATCAGACGAATCGTATGTTGCAAGAGATTGAACAGATCTTCCAGAAATTAGCACAAATAAGCGGTTCTGAAACGACTCATGTGGAAAATGAGATTCAGATGAAAATCACTGCAGCGAATTCGTAAGTTCTATTAATGAAGCTATGTTCAATCTTCATAAATTTAAAATAAATATTTCATAGAAATTGTGATCGCTTAGATGTTCTGCTGTATAAAGTACCAGCTTCTCAACGCCCAAGTGCGAAAATGCGCATTGACCAGTTAAAATATGACATTCGACATTTACAGAGTTCACTGCAACTTTATCGAGAAAAGCGACAACGTCGTCTGATTGAGCTTTCTGAGCGTGAACAACTATTAAGTCATCGTTTTTCAAGCAATTCAGGTGCAACAGAAACGTGTCTTGACATAGACTATTCTTTGCAACATCACACGCAACTAAACAATGCCAATCAAGGTGTAGATGAAATGATTGCATCTGGAGGCAATATACTGTCCAGTTTAATTAACCAACGCGAAACTCTCAAGGGCGCCCAACGGCGTATTCACGCTATCGGCAGCACATTAGGCCTTTCTAATCACACTATGAAGTTAATAGAACGACGCTTTGTGGAGGATAAATATGTAATGTTGGCCGGTATGGGTGTTACGCTGTTTATTATTGGCTTGGTCATATATTTTGTAGTATTTTGAGTATAATAATAGTAAGATAATACGTAATCTATTTTTTAATGCTACACATAGTTTGCAATACGAGTGAGTCGAATTCTGCCTTAAGATCGATTTGTTTAAATTATGATAAATACATTTTCAAAAATAAAATGTTGACATCAAGAAGTTGTGCTATGTGTTGCGGAAGTAACCCGGATTTCCTCTTAATCATCGGTGTTTAATTTTTTTGTTAATATGTCCGCTTTTTTTAGCTGATATAGTACTTGAATTACCAGAGAGCTTATTCTTTGAATTTGTGTTTCCGCTCGGAGTGTTGGGATCCTTTAAAACATCCCGCTGGGGAGTAGGTGTCACTGCCCGGTCTATTTGATAAATGAAAGTCACACAATACTTAGAAGCCCAATTTTAAAGCAAATCAGCTTACCACTTTTTTCTTCTTTACCGGTACTTTTTATCGATGCAGTTCCATCGTGTGCTGTTGTTGTGTTTTGGTTCATAGCTATTTGATTGTCACTCGAATCCTCATTCGTTATAGAATCTGATTCGCTGGCACGTTCAGCTTAGAACAGGGTAATTTTAAATATTAAATAACACAAAAAATAATAATTTACAAGCCTTACGGTTGCATATAGCCATGGATGTAATGCTTGATTTTGAGAAAAGCCTTTCAGCTTCTTTGAATTTACGATTCCTTTTATCTGCTTTGGAATTTGTGGCTTTATTAGAAGTTAGGTATCGCTCCCAACCACGTATAATATTGCCGCATAGTTGCGTATCTTCAAGGTATGATCCCTCAAAAGCATAAATTTGTCTTTCTAGATTAGCCAGTTGCTCCTAGATGGAAACGCAAGATGCATTGAGAAACATATAAACTAAACAAATCATGATACTGTTGTTATCATGACACAAATAAACATGCTTACAGATGTCTCCGCCTTTTTCTTGATAAGGTCCGCCAATTCTGCACGGGTATCTAAGTTAGTAGATTTCGTCGTTGAATTTGTTTTGGAAGACTTCCGTTGCTTTGCAACGCTTACATCGTTATTATTTTTGACATTCGGGGAGCTCATTTTTATGATATATTTCCTTAAAAGTTAATATTTTCCGTTTTCTCGATAAAATTCATAAATTGTCAAAATGAATTAGGGATTGCGATGTTCACCGATGCATCGGAGACGTCGATGTTTCCAATTCAACGCATCGAATAAGTTCCGATGTATCGATTAATCGATATTATTCGATGTATTGATGTCTCGAAAACTAGAACTTGCAAGACAAGGCGAAATTATACAAGGTCGTGTTAATGGCGAATTTAGATATTCGCCGCGGTCCTTCTGAATGTCAAAATAATGTGTTTGTTGTAAACAAGGCGAATTCATAATACAACACATAATTTTGACATTGAGAAGGACCGCGGCGAAAATCGAAATTCGCCAGTAACACCACCTTGTATAAATTCGCCTTGTTGCAAGAACTATACCAGAGGATAAGTTTTGCGGGTCCGATTCTGATACTTGTGACATAATGGACTACTTTAGTCTTTGGATTGATCATTATAAGCTAGTTAACCGAAATTGGAAAACCAATAAGACCGAAAAAAGCCTTTCCGATGAGCTGTCAAATTATTTGGGAAGTCCGGTAAGTTGGTTTAATGAAAACCTTCTAGAAATACGGGCCGATTACAAAATACTGTCTCCAAAATTAGATAACATTGCGGTGAGCGACTTTTATGTGATTTTGTCGTGATAGCAAAGACGCGGATGATGCAATTACAATGCTTTTAACTTAGCCTTTTTTATGTATATGCTACATAAATTTGTTTATATTTTACTTGTATGAATGTACATACATATACATATAGTAATTTTGCCTCATTAATCAAAAATTCAATTAACGCACATGGCTTGGATGCATTTATCCGCCTATGTGCACACTGCAACCATCAACACAAAATGAGGCTGTTGTTTTTGTTTCCAATGCAATGTTCGCAAACTACGCCACAAACGACGAGCATGCTCACTGAAAATAATTTTTTTTTTACTTTTTGCGAAAAATTTTTTTATATGGCAGCATAACACTGTCTGCTCTGTTATTCCTTTATCTGTTTTGTTTTCATCAAATTTTTCTTATTTTTGCTAACAAACGAGGGCATGGTGCAGCAAAATACTTGATTTTATCATTTTTTTTAAATAATTATACAAATTGGACGAAATGGCTGAAAGAATCTTATATGTCCCACGTGTCAATCAGGTAGTATTTTGTAATTACATATGTATGCATACATATATCTTGTATAAGCAGGATAAATTGTTTCTTGTTTTTTTATATCAATAAGATCGATGCGATTAATTTAAATAGAGATATTACTCGGCTAATACGAGATAATTTATTGGAAAACTTACAAGCGATATCAGTAAGTTGCGGAAATTTTGCAAACGAAAAAGCTAAACATTACTTTTAATACCACAGCCCTCCTTATTTGCGAAGATACAGCCGGAATTGGACTTGTTTATACAATCTGCAATTTGGTTAGGATCCGTTGGCAAACAATGCTCTACATTTGGACAGCAATTGCTTGTTTTATCATATGACAAGGAGCGTTTGACTACGTCGAGACTATGTTTACACTTTATACTAACAGTACTTCCAAAATATATTAAAAATTGGGATGATCGCCGAACAACTATACGCGCCGAGTGGCTGCACAAGGCAATTGAGTGGGGCGAAAATGCGGCTTTACTGTTGTCTGTTCTCAATTTTTTTCGTTTCTTGAAGACAGGTCGGAAACCAACTTTGGTCGATTATATTCTTGGCTTGGATTACATTAGTTTACGACACAATCAGAGGCGTGACATAGGGTACAAATACCTCACACGAGAACTGCTTTGGGGTGGCTTCATGGTAATTGGTTATTTAAATAAATTAGTTATTCTGAATGCAACTTATTTCGCGTTATTAAAGTACATACATATATACAGGAAATTCTGGGTTTGCTGTTGCCGGTCATTAATTTCAGGAAAATTCGACGTGTTTTTAACAATACTCTAAAAAGTGTATACTCACCCCGAAAAACTTCGAAGGCGCACATTGCCGAGGAGAACGTAATTGTAATGACTTCGAATACGGTTTGTACCTTCTGCGGCGAACGTCCAACGATACCTCATCATATGGGTTGTGGGCACATTTATTGCTATTATTGCTTGTCGGCCAATATTTCCACTGATGCAGATTTCAATTGCGTTGAATGTGGCGCAACTTGTTTTAATGGAATTTGGGCAGTATAGTTGCAGAGTAATGCCCATACATACACACGTATAATGCCTATGGATTTGCACGTATATGTGTACCTCAATTCATATACGAATAAACATGATAAGGGGATAAGGGTAATTGTAGTCATGTACAGGTTTTAAAGTATGTGTAAATAAAATAACCTTTTTAATAATAGAATTTTTAATAGATAGTTATGTATGCATGAGTACGATGGATGCTGTGATAGCCCTGAATATGGCTTTCAGCTGTACACTTTTTTCTAAAATAAAATGTAAGAAATGTACAATTCTTTATTTGAAACTCGAACCATTTGATGACAATCGCGCTTTATTTAGAATGTTTTTAATCACACAACATAACGAAACAGCGAAAAACAGATACACATAAGATACAGTAGATCACTATAATAATGTAATATATGTATGTAGGTATGTATATTATTAATATACATACGTATGTATAAAGGGTATTTCTAGTAATACAAATAGAATGCTTCATAGCGAGTATTTCGCTTCCAAACGGTGCAAATATAGTGTGTTTATTAATATGTATACACTGGATTTTCCAGATCTAAAATTTGTGGGCTTGTTCCATTACTCTATTAGAATATATATTTTTGAAGGTACTTTCGATACTGTTTCTAAGACTGCATCCGGATATTTGTTTTTTGAAATTTAAATAGATTTACATGTCAGTGGGCAGGATATCCGGTATTAAATATTTGCACAAATCAATTTCGTTATCCACAAAAATTACTTTCTTTGCTGTGTTTTCATCTAGCCATTGCCTGATAATAGGCCATATGGTAGAAAATATACCCGGAGAGTTTATAATCAAGCAGACACCCAACCGTTCGGGATAATGTTTGCTTAGCAACCAAATCAGATTTTTCACCAGCTGGTAGTCCATACAAGCAGTGCTGAATTCAGCTAAATCGAAAACAATGCACAAGCTGTCCACGACTTCTTCAAAGCATTTCTTACACGCTTCCTCCAAGCAATGAACTATAAACTTTGTCAACTCATCTATATCACGGTCATTAGAGTTGTGATTTTTTGCAGGAATGTAAATTACCGGACGTCCAATACAATCTCGGTGCCGTAAAACGCGTGCTTTGTTTCCATGTAACTTTATAGCGTCTAAATCTGCCAGAGTCTCTACTCCATATTGCTCTCGCCATTTGTTTGTTTTAAGAATAGCCTATTGGTTGGATATTAAAGTACGCGTTATCAGTAATTATTGATTTGTATCTATACTATATAGTACTTACCTGAAAAGCAGCATCTACGGTTTTGAAAGCTCGGAGGTAACGCTTTAAAGAAAAATCGTTGTGGTATTGCTTAGGATCAGCTTCAACAATAAGCTTCATACGATCCTTCAGATCTTTCAAATCATTGGCATTGACTGGGCTAGGTTCATCCTGCGACATATTGATATATGATGACAGCGATAATGTTGATGATAGAATATGATAGAATCAAAATCGGTTAATCAAGCCTATTCACCGCGATAAAACTTTTCTCCCACACTGGAGGCCTGACAGCTGGATTACTTCTTTTTCTTTGGCACAACAAAAATTACAAATATGGAGAAAAGAAGAATAAAAAATTAAGTAGATGAAATGAGCTGTGTTTAACAAGCACTCTGGAAATGCACAGTCAAAGCAAACAAAAAAAAAATACCTTTCAACTTTTTTCAACCGGTAGATGGGAGCCAGTATTTTAAAGCTGATTTAACTCTTAAATAATGTTAAATAAAGAGCGTGTCAGACTTGGCATTATATTTCGTATGCAATGTATTTCGAAAAGGCTGTCAAATTGAGAAATTTCAGAAAGCAGTTGCATGAGCATTCACACCTTGCATGTAATGTGTCTTAAGAGGGTGACAGACATGGCAATTTTTCCAGCTTTTCCACACAATTCGCAGAAAGGCCTTTCGGTAAAATTTCTGAAATCAGTTTCAGAAATAAAAGTTGCAAGATGTGACTGCTATATATTAAAACCTCTTTCGAAAGGTTGCTTTTATGTGTTCGTAGAAAAAGCGACTATCTGGCAACCTGTAAATTAACAATTTATCCACCAAAGTCGTTTGATAAAGTGATAAACTTTCGTTAAATAGATTTCCATACAAAGTTTGACAGTTCATTTATCAAAATGATAAATTTATGTCTTTATCTAGTTTATCACTTTTGATGAAGACCCCTATCGAATCATGGGGAACGCTATAAACAGAGTTGTAATATTAAAAAACTGCCATGATTAGCAACTCTTGATTTGTAAGCACTATGTATGTACATATGTATTTGTAGTATATTCAGGAAACAACAACACTTCTATTAGACAGTCTTTAAGCAAAGTAAAAACAAAATTTCGAGAATATCATCAGTGCTAAATAAAAGTCGAACCAAAATAATTTTGCAATTGATTTTAATAAGGAATTGTGTTTCTCAAAATAACTATATACTTGAAGCAGTAGATATTTGGATAAAAATATTGAGAAAATTACGTCAACGGAGGTAAATTGATATGACGACATTCCATAAAGCAAAGTCAGTGGCATACCAATGATTTCAATAATGTTAGTCGCAATGAACAATTGTTGGAAAAGAAATCAAAAGCGGATATAATAGGAAATGGGCGACCGTCTAATTACTTAATAAATAATTTTGTAGAAAAACTTAAGTCCATAAAGTAAAACAAATATAGAAGTCGAGGACGAATCACTTTATACATTCATACATATGTACATCATATGTATGTATACGTGCGTACGTAGCAGGAGAGAATAACTTTTACTCCTTACCTAACTGATAAGACCCTTTATTAGTGATGTTCATGATAACAAAGGGCATTCAATCCGAAAGTGAATGATATTAAACAGAAAACATTTTAAAACATATGTAGGTATGTATGTATTATGGAAAATATCTCTCATATACAAACCTATGTAGGTATTTGTACGTTAATACATATATGTACATATTGTACTATTATGTATGCGTACATAAATACATATGTAAATGGTGATTTTTTAAGAGCTTGATAACTTTTTTTGCAAAATCTCATCGGTTCTTTATTTGAAACGTTAGATTGGTCCATGACATTTACTTTTTGAAGATAATTTCATTTAAATGTTGACCGCGGCTGCGTCTTAGGT